GTTGGGATTTTTGCACCTTCCTCCCACAAGGGATACCTTTGTGTTGCCTTGGATCCAGACCCTGCAGCTCTCTTCTACAACCAAACTTAGTCTGAGCCCAAGTTCATGGCCAGCTTGTTACAGCTGCAACCCGGCACCTGAGCCTATGCCTGACCCCGTTTTTTTCAGCTTCTGTCTTTAGCCCTCCTCACTACAGGAGGGGCCAGATGGGGGGAGCTTTGATGGCAAAAGTCTTGACTTGTTATTCTGCGATAACACAACAAAGTAGCATCTCCTCCAAAGCAGGGGAGAGCCCCCCGTAGTCAGAAAAGAGCGGGACACACACGGTCCTTACTAAGTGACTAAACACACCCGTCTACTTTTATTCCTGTAAACAGTAAGACGCTTTCATGGTCTTGTCGGAAACTCCTTTTCCCCTCGGTAAGGGTCAGGGGTGTCCGCGGGGGCCCCCCCCCGGAGGAAATTCGGTCCCGGTTCGTTGCCGAGAAGGCGGAAGGCAGAGTCGGCCGTTACCTTCCATCCTTCAGAGTGTTCACAATGAAGCGGTTAATCTGGCAAATGGCATTTGCGGTCAAGCTCTGGTCATCCACCAGAGGGTTCAGCTGCGTGGCCAGCATGAAAGCTGCAAACAGAAGACAGGCCGGTGTGAGGAGCCCAACGTCCGGAAGGTTAAAATTGCGCACTCAACCTTGGGAAGTTTAAAAGCTGGCTGCACTTCGCTTATCGCCAGGTTAACAGGCAGGGCCGAAGGGCAAGCCAGCGTTTCATTTGGCAAGCCGTATTTGATCAAACATTTACAATACAAAATTAAAATGTTACTGCAGGTTCTCTAGCGCAATCATGGGAAGTGCCACTGGGCAACCAGTTTTGTAACCCAACGGCATTTATGCTGAAGCCTCTTCCTATATCGGGCCCCACACCTTTCCCAGCTAAGCTTCCCCTCCCCACCGCCCGTGGCCAGAGCAGGCCCTGGTACTCCTCCTTTTCCTGGAGCACTTCCCGTGCACCACGAGGCCTCCTCAGTTATTTACTAAATTTATATGCCTCCAATCTCTTGTCAAGCAACTCTGGGTGGCTTGCCAGATCATGAAAGCAAGTACGGAGTAATAAAATAAACGGGATTAAATAAGTTAAAAACCAAATATGTAACTGAGGTGGTGGTGGGGTCTTCCTAGTCTGGTAACCACCTTTGGCATGGAGGGCCCCCTGCCAGGCCAAATGGCAGAGCCAGGATTTGAGGCTCCTTTGGAAGGGGAAAAAAAGGGCAGATCTCCCCTCAAGGGGCACAAGGCCCCCATGTTCTTCAGCTCTTAAAGAGGGCTGCTGCTGCAGGGAATGACTTGGAGGGACGAAGGTTTGGGATCCTTGAAGTAACATAAGGCTGCCCAAGAAAATTGTTCTCTAATTAGGAGTTCCCAAACGTGGCGAGTTTAAGACATGTGGACCAACTCCCAGAATTCACCTAGCTGGCTGAGGAATTCTGGGAGTTGAAGTCCACATGTCTTAAAGTTGCCCCATTTGAGAAGCCTTGCCCTAGAGGCCAGGGGTAGGCAACCTTGGCTCTTTTATGACTTCTGGACTTCAACTCCCAGAATTCCTGAGCCAGCCCTGCTGAGGGGAAAGGGAGAGGTTTCCAAGCTGAGCCATGCTGGCTTAGGAATTCTGGGAGTTGAAGTCCACCAGTCATGAAGGCAGCCATAGTTCCCCTCAGCATGGCTGGCTCAGGAATTCTGGGAGTTGAAGTCCACGAGTCATAAAAGAGCCAAGGTTGCCTACCCCTGCTCTAGGCAAAGCAAACCCTTCCTGGTCAACACACAGAGTGAATTCTAGGGGATTAATATAAATACTTTCAGCAACTTTACAGGACTTTGGGACGGTTGGCAATCCGCTGCTGATGGAGGGAAAGAAAGTGGGGAGCCCAAGGAACTGAAGGGGCCTTCCCAGTCTCAAGGAGGGCCCACTGGCTTCCAACATCCTTCCTATTGTGGGAACAACCCCCCTCCTTCACCCAGGCTGGGCTTTCCAGCCCTGACCCGGCATCTTCCCCACTATGCGGCTCCTGCCCGGCCCAAAGACTGAAGCCCACCAACATGGAAGCCAAGCCAGCCTCTCTGTTCCTGATGATGCCACCTCCATTCTGGTGCCAAGCTGGGAAGGAGCCATGGAGAGGAGGGGCGGCTCCGTCAAACAATCCTGTACAAGGCAATGACGGTCTCTGTGCCCCCCCCAGCACAGGGGTCTGGTGCCCAACTCAAAGGATTCGCTTCCTGCACTGGCAGGCCTCACCAGGATCTCAGGCAGTCATCAGTCCCTAACCCTAATCTTTTTCCTTTGTGAAAATGGCTAATTTATAATTTTAATCCGTCTGAACTTTATGAAACGTTTTGTGCTTTGAACCTCAACTTCCTCCAGTCCTCAGCAGAGCAGAAAGGTGGAATACGAAGCCAAGGAACCGGATGAGCTGAATCGGAGCTCTTCCCGGAGAATACGGTCCACCCCCCACCCCCCGAAGTCTATGGCTGCTATCCTCCCCTTTTTTAGTGGCAACCACAAAGGGCTTCTTCACAGCCTCCTTCTCACTCTGAGCCCTCTCAACACGTCGGTCCTTACAGGAAAGGGTGTTCACACCATCGCTCATCAGCATCCGGTAGCGTGGGGGGCCGTTCCCCGTGGAGATGGGGCGGATCGTCTAGGGGAGAAAAACACACAGCTCAGTTGGGGGGGGCTCCTTTCTGGGGAACGGGGCACTTTATCCCCCCTCCCGCCTGGGCTGCCTCTTCCGGCGCTCAGGAATCCCTTTTGGGGCAGGGAAGGGGCCTCGGCCCTCCTGCCTCTGGCTGCCTCCTCCGGGGCCTCTCAAGCCCAGCTCTGGCCGAAATCAACGGCCAGGGAGGAAAACTCCACCCAGTGCTCCAAATGGGCAGGCAGTCCTCGACTTATGACCACAAAACTTATGTTAAGTGAGACAGTTGTTAAGTGAATCGCTGCAGCTGTTAGTAAGTGAATCTGGCTTCCCCACTGACTTTGCTTGCCAGAGGGTCGCAAAAGGGGATGGAGTGACCCCCCCCAGGGGACACAGCAACGGTCGTAAGTCCGAGTCAGTTGCTCAGTGTCTCCATTATGATCACGTGATCACAGGGATGCTGCAAAGGCCGTAACTGTGGAAAACGGTCACAGGTCACATTGGGTCAATGTTGTCGTAAACTTCGAGCGGTCGTAACTCGAGGACGACCTGCCACCCAGCAGAGTTTGCGAGGAGACCGGAAAGTCCGTCGCGGGGGAAGCAGCGGCCCCGGACGCTCTTCCGGGCCGGAGGGGGAGGGCCGGGCTCCGGAAGCCCCATAGGGAGCCCCCCCAGTCCCCGCGGGAGGGAGGGAGGGAGGGGGGAGGGGCGCTACTCACGATCAGCTGCAGCACCGGCCTCCCCACCGGCTCCGCCTGCAGCAGTATGGCCTGCGGGGGGGGTAGAGAGAGAGAGAGAAAAGCGCGGGAGTCGGCGGGGGGGGTCCAGGAGCGCCGCCCGGGAGCCCCCCCTTCCGCGGGGACCGGGGAGGGCCGCTCACCGCGATGGCCCCCTCGCTCAGCCCCGCCGCCGCCGCCGCCGCCACCGACGCCATCCCTGCCCGCCGCCGCCGCCGCCTCCTCTTCCTCGGTTCCCGCGCGC